GAGGAGGAGGGGGCGGGTTACTGTAGCATAGGCACAACTTGAGCAGTTAAGTGGGAGCAGTTACCTTAAGGGGGGAGTTGCTCCTTTGGGTAGGTCCCAGAGCACATTCATCAAATTTCAAAAGAACACTTTATGGAAACGTAGGATAGATGCACGGGGATCTCATTCTGGAAACACGGTAACCGTTGGAACAGCTTCCTACCTACTAGACTCTATTGAATGATGCATTCTCCTTGGAAATAAAGGGCAAATTGTGTTCGCATTGACATTTGGCAGAACATAACAGTTGGAAGTTTCTCCCCTACGTCTACGTCAAAACTCATTGGGTTGGGCTAAAGTAGATATCGAAATGGTATCGGTTCAAATGTTTAAATATTTAATTAACACCAATTACTGCTTAACTTGTATCAGGTCGTTGGACGTTATTATTATATACTCTTACGGGTTTGTATAGGAAGCTCTATATCTGTAACTGTCTATAACTATCTAGAAACGTTCACCGGTTCTAAAACCCTTGACAGTCTAGTGTTTGCTAGTGTCATCTCAGTAGAAGCCCAGTCGCTGGTCGTAGAATAAGCCGGTCTTCGCTGAAAGTGTCTTGGCGTAGTTGAACACAGGGCTAAGAAATAAGAGGCATATATCACTGACATACAAACCCATCCCTACGTCGAGATTTGGTGGGCCCTGTCTCAAACTTCATTAGCAGTTTTTTAAAGAAAAAAAAGATTTTAGTCTTGGCAGTTGAACTCTGAACAGTTAAGATGTTTTCTTATTTCAAAGTTTAGATATGCTTTCGGTAAGATTTCGTAGATTGTTTTCGTCGGAATGGAACACTCTACTAGACCGAAAAAATCGCACTCAGTAAAGATAACTCTTTTATTAATTTAATCAGTACAAAGAGCATTATTCTTTCCTTTCCATCATTTTAAAATGATCAACAGTTACCATCATTCTTTAACACGTTGTTGATAGAACAATTTCTTTACAAAAATAACTCAAGTACTTATTTTACTTCACTTGTTTTTTTCCTCCATATTTCCATTCTTGTTTTCCAAACTTTTCGTTACTATCACACTGAATTCATTTTTACAAGTTTTAAAAAGTAATTTGAATGCATTTTATTCTTTCTGTGTTGCAAATAATGGGTTCAATCACCCCCCCCCCCCCTCGAAAAAAAAACCCCAAGAAACACTTCGTTATAATATTATTTTTGTGGAAAAATTAATACTTCCTTAAAATTGATCCACATGAAAAGCTGAATATTCCCGTTACATAAATTCGTATTCAACCATCTCAGATTCATTAAAATATTTTCATCCGTCCGCCTTACTTTTCTATAGTAAAAGGCCCTGCTGATTGTCGTGTATTTTTCAATCTCAAGTGTAAAACTGTCTTTGACTACGCCACACTTTCGAATCTGCCCACCACTTCCCCGCTCGATAGTAGTTCGCTTTTGTATGACTTTGCAGTTAGACTATATCATGTATTATATCTTTATTTGCACGATATAAAATAATGTAGATTTGACATTGTTTTAGAAAGAACGCGTACTAAAACAGCTCATGCTTTGTAGTTATACATGGCCATTGTGTAAAATTTTGTGTATTGGTAAGCATGTACTTTGCCACTCCAAGAGATGAAAATAACAATTTGTAAGTAAGCACATATTACGTTTGTCATATATATGTATACTTCATTTATATATATATATATATAAATGAAGTAGCAAGTATTTAGCAATATGATATACAATATACTTATTTTCCCTAAAAACTGAGCACCAGAAAGTTACAGGAGGAAAAGGAGAAAATGGTGGACACAGTAAAGATAAAGATATAGTGTCATACAGTTGAAGCTCACACAAACCGTTAGTAGAGTGTGCAAGACATGTAATGTTGCTGAGTAGATCAATAGCTGTAGCCACAATAATGAGTTTGTCACCTCGAGATTAGAAATTATTTCCAGCGGTAATGAAAACATCCGTTTTGAAGGAAATGAAAATAAGGGGGAAAAAAAGGAAAATAAATTTTCTGCAAGTCCATTAAATACAAATGAACGAGATTATAAAGAAAGGTTTATATTTGACACCTCCAGGGCGGAAAAATGGTAATTCTAAAAGATTTGTCTTAGAGAAAAAATGAAATTATTGAACAAGCGTATGCACTAAAAATATATATTCCAGCAAAACTTCATTGATTAGTTATGAAGGAAAAGCAGTGCATGTATTTGCTTCTCTCCGTGAGTGCATGCAAATGTGAGCATGGTCTTTGGATTCATTAACGTTGATTGATTTTGAGGAAATGAAAAACCCAAAAAATGTTAAAAAGAGAGATTTCTGTAACAGCAAAAAGACAATGAGCCAAAGCAGCAGCTTATGAAAAATGTATTTTTCAAGAGCATGACAATTCTTCAGTAAAAGAAATTCAACAGTTCTTCAGTAAATGAAAATTTTCTTTCATTTTGACTTATTAATTTGATTTTTTTTACAATGTCAGTGTAAATTTAGAAGTTGAAAGGTTTAAAGAAAGGAAATTGAAAAAAGTAATGATGCATTTTCCTCAGTCAGACCATAGTAGTGCATCATTGAAATAACACTTAGAATTGTTCCTGCATCAGTCTAGTGATACTTTTCTGAAATAAAAGAAGACATATCAGAGGTTGGTCAGAACAACAAAATAATTAAGGTGTGCACTCAAACAAAAGAACTTGTATTTAAAGAAGACCACCGAAATTTATTGTTGTTTGTATGGTCTGGTTTAGACTGAAGTTTTGTTCTGTCTATCCTTCGTTTATTTTTTTTTCTACTTTATTTTCTGAACTGAAACGCCGTGACATAAATAGCTTCACTTTTTCACTTTTCAATTGTAACATGCTTCAGGTTTTTATTTTCTAGATTTCTTCCTTTGTTTTGTCAGTATCATGCCAAAAAAGCATGCAATAGCCAACGTTTTAAGGAATGCCTTTCCATTTTTCTTTTACCCTCTCCTTTTCGAGACAGCAAACTCCAGTAAGTCAAACGTGCATGCTTGGTGTTCGTTTTGATGTCCTCTTCCTATAAAAATCCACATTTTCTGGCATTCAATTTAAGTATTTCACCATTCTTTTTTTCATAGCTCTGAAATACACAACGCCAATTACTCTTTTTACGTTCACAACTTCATTTGGTGTTGCCTGTTTTGCAAAGGATGCCACTTAAAGTCAGTTGATGACAGCCATTCATCCATAATCGATTTTTTTCCACTTGATGCTGGAAACAATAGAACTTAACAGCGCTGTTCTCTTTACGGCAAAAGACCGCATATCCTCTCCAAAACGAAGCCTGAAGCAAAAAAAAAGTTTATAACCAACACAGAAAACTATAGTTGGACTCAATACGAGAACACAATCGACGTTTTTCTTTCAGTAACAAAAATGTCTGGTTAAAACAAATCCACGCAGTTGAGGACTATTTATATCAGTATACTTCTACCAGTAAACTCTGCTTTGGTATATACGGTCTTTGCCAATATTAAGTATGACAAGCAAACGTAAAGTAGTGATAGTGGTGGTAACTTTGAGGAATAATGAGAAACATTTCCTTACTTTCGTCTACCCGTATCATTGATGTCTTACATTAAATATCATATTTGGATTTGGATCCCCTTAATTAAACATCGTTTACATCTAGTAAACTTGATGTAACGTATTTTCGTATTCTATATTATGCCAGTCACAGCTTAGAAATTCAAAAGCTGCAAGCACCATGCTGAAAAAACGTCTTACTAAACATTCTCAGCCATTGAGAAAAACTTAAGAACTGGCGATGTGTCTGATGTTACCCCCCCCCCCCCCCCCCGCTCCCAATAAAGAAATGTATAAATGAATAAAAAACAAAAATAGATCAATACATGGTAATAGATGAATAAACTAAATTATTTTTAAAAAATTTTTTAAAATTAGAAATCGATTTTTTGAGCTTCCATGAAATTAAAATAAAAGATTACACAAAAAGAAAGGGATGTATTATTTATGCTTTTAGTAATAGGTTTTAGTGATAAATCAGTCGTTTAGAGCTTTTATAAATGATAACAGAAGAGAAAAGCCTGTACCATTTAGTCATTGAGAATTGATTTTTAAATGTAATTAGGGGTGATTAAATTTTCTTTTCAATTCACTGGACTTAAAAAAAAATTATGAATCTGATCGCAAGGAAGTAGGGCCTGTTGATACTATTAATGTAGTTCTGTATTTGCTGTACCGTGCAATAATGCTTGACATATACTCCATACGTACTAAAGAAAATGTAAAAAATAGTACATAACATATGAAAAAAGTGGGGGAAAATACATCGCTGCAATCGCAAATGAAACATTTTTCTCACTAATCAAACAACTATTTCTATGAATATTGAAAATGTTTACCTATTGATCCAAGATTTATGACTTTCTAAGTATATAAATCTTGAAGTGAGATACAAAATCTTAGGAGATGTAAGTAAAAAAAGACTAAGGTATTTAGTTCGCTTAGATTTACTCAGTACTTATAAGCCATCTCTGTAATCTTGTGCTATAAATGTAAGCTACTATAACTCTGCTTTGATCCTTCTCCCTGTGTGCTCGTCTAGTTGGCTTGGTCACCTGTTGCGTTGTAACTTTGTACAAATCACAAGTTTTATC